ACTAATCAAATTTTCAAATTAAACGTCCGTGCATTTAGCAGGATCTATTGGCAGAAATGGTATGTTTTCATTAGTGTATAATCATCTGAAAATAAGAATCACTGTGTATGAGCTATTCTTATCTCCTCTTCTACGGACTCTGCCATGTTGAACAGCTTTAATAAGAATGTTGGAACGCACAAGAAAAGAGCAGTACATATCTAAAACACTGTAGATTCTCCCAAACTGTTATTTTTCTATCAGTGTGTTCACTGAAGAAAATTAGCTTTACACAGGAAGTGGTCATTCAGAACGAAAGTGATATCTTTAACTATCATGAGTGCATGCATCATCCAACCACTGCGCACAGGAGAGAGGAAATATTTAATTTACACAGGATGTGTGAGTAATCCCGAATATTCAATTCAAACCTAGTACTGCTATTTGTGGCTGTCCACGTGCAATGGCTACAGGTTTCCACTTCAGCCATACAGCTGAAGTGGAAACCTGTAGCCAGGGTCGTATCCAGACTTTTTCGACTGGGATGGCATCAAGTATGTGTCTCAGCTTTCCAGTCATTCCCAATGTATGCAAATCCAACACTGTTTAGGATCCCAGTCTGCAGAAACATTCAAATAAAATGTATACATGCACAAGACTGCACACACACATGCAACTACTGCATTTCTATACATGATGTATTATTAACTGTAATCAGAGCTTGTGATATAGGCATGAAGAGGAATGCTTTTCATATGACAGGACTGGAATGGCATACTGTAATTGGTGCTAATTAGCAAATATTTGGTAAACATTATACCTAGTAAACATCTACACACTAGAATGCTGATGTATGCTTTTGGCTCAAATACAGATTCAGGGAGCGGCTAGCATACAGTAGCTGTAGACTCCTGGTCTCGTAGGTTGTTTTGGACAACAGTGTATAAATGTAATGTCATTAAAAGTATAATGTTTGCTCAACCTGCAATAACCACCTCTTTTTCTGAGTTTTAGTTCATATGCGACTGCTACTGTGTGGTTGTTATTGTTCTTCTCTTGAAACTTTGAGTTTGTGTTGATTGTGGCAGCCCCTGTGGACAAAAGTGGTAGCGTTTCTACCACCTCGTTTTACTGATTTCAAGGGGAATCTGACCGAATCCAACCCGGTGGCAGGCGTTAATAATAACTATGCAGAAATAGCCAATCTGCTCGCTGATGGTCTCGTCTGTTTATGTAGGTCATATAGAGGCTTCAGTATTAAATTGGGACTGTTTTATAACCAGTTAAAAACTCCTACGTTTAAAAAGTGGAGAAAAATTGACATAAAGAAGTAAGCAGACAGTAAGTGGCTGATCACTCCTCACTATCTTTGTCCCACCAAATCTCACCATTATCATGATCACTATGAAAACAGTTTGAAGTGCACTGAAATAGACAAAATCAGACACACGGCCAACCAGTTACAGTAAAATATTTTATTTAGAAATGATTATTCATTTTGAAAATAAGTTTAAGAAATCCAGTGATATATGTAAATAATCAATAATCAGGTTAAAGTGCAAAAATACATTTCTGATATAATGTATCTGTACAAAAATAACATTGGAATGTGATATTGAAAAGGAGGAAAATGTGTCTATGCTAACATGGCTTTGATCATTCTCAGTTTTTGTAAAAAATTGCATAAGAGTCATGTCCCTTTTTAAAGTCTTTGGATTATAAGCTTTTGAGCAAAGTATTTGCGCTGAGCAGCCACAAGGGTTTTTTTCTTAAAGTCCATTTCACATTCCACACATCCACTGGGTTCTCTGCCAAGTCAGGCTTTGACAACTACGCATACACCTCCTCCACTAAGGCTTATTTCGGCATTATTTCTTTAAGCACGGCTGGTGAAATATTTCATCCTTGAAAAGTATTCCCACAGAAGCAGAGGGCTCAGCCTCCAGCAGCTGAGATGAAAAAAAAGTCTTTGGTTGTTCTTTGGCTGTTGTTGTCTTTGGTCATGTTTTTCCAGTGTCCCTGTCCCTTCCCTGCTGGCGTAGTGAATCACTTGATCTTGGCTGGCTTCAGTTCCTTGACCTGCATGTGTAATGTCTTGTGGACAGCCAGAGTCCTGGACTGACAGAAGCCCTTCCCACACTCCTGACATTTGAAGGGCTTTTCTTTGGAATGGATGTACCTGCAAGGGACAATAACAGAGCAGTCAGTTAGTATTTAGTAAGAATTGTGTCAGATTTCAGAGCATCATCATTAGTACTGAGTGGGCCTGACATACAGGCTTCATGAGCCTTCCAACACATCCTCCAAAAACAAACTGCATGAGCATTTTCTGATTTGAAGCTAATGTTTAGGTAGGAACAAACACTACCAGACAAATCCCAGAATTCACATGGTGGCAAACTCTGTAGAGGCCTTATTGTCCCCTGTGCTGTGAGAGACTCAGCACATTTGAGACCTCATCTAGAACTAAACCGCTTTAAAAAACATTCTTGATCATTTTGTTGTACCCCCTGTCTGGCTCTTCTGTGCTATAGCAGCTTAGTTTTGTCTCTGTACTGCACCCTGCTGTTGTTAACCAAGAAATTATTTACTATACTAATTACTAATTCCAACTATTCCAATAAAGGTCCTGTATGTAGGATTTATTGATTGATTTTTATTGATTTCCTGGATACTTGCTCATAGAAGAGGTTTATTCTAAGGCAACAAAAACATTCTTAATAAATGCCAATAGATCCTCCTAAATGTTACACACTGGAGCTTTAAATGTCTCAACTTAGCAACTTGGAAAACCAAAATCTCATCTTTCCCGGCCATGTGTTTTGTCATATCAATTATTTGTGCTCACTAAGTAATTCTACTATTTCCAACACTGCCTGAAGGCAGTATAAAAGCTGCAACAGCAGATATTTGGTACCATTATGTTAATTACACACTAATTTCAGCACCGAAAATATACTTATTTGAATAAGGTTTTGATTTTTGGGTCTGCTGACTAAACTAAACTGCAAGTGTGCAATTTTTTAGGTTGACTTAGTCACCACGCAATTAGTCAATCTAAGCAGCTACCACACCACACACAGAATATCTTGACATTTGGACAAAATCAACATCTTGTGTTACCAGTGACAACATTTCATGGAAAAACCCCACCAAAGAAACAAATTCTTGCGTTTAAAATACGTAACTCTTCACCAACCCTGTTACACAGTAAAAAGAGTATATTCACTACTTAACAGTTCATAGCTTTTCTGGATAGTGAAATCCACCAACATAAACACGCTGTCTGTCATTTAGATTTAGTAGATGTAATCATTTTGACCTATGGTATGGACTCTTTAAACCTGCTCTACCTGATGGGATATTGTTTCACCCTGATGATCCAAGTTGATTAACCTGGTGCTGCAAGTCAGGTTACTAATGATACCAGAGTTATTATAGTTTTGTATTTTCTTTAGTTTTTGTTTTTATTTCATTTTTAATTTTTGTTTTGTTCAGCTTCAGTTAGTTTACAGAGTGGGTTTGCTCCTTTCAGTTTAGTTTTTCTTGTTAAAAAATTGTTTAGTTTTAGTTTAGTTTTTATTAGTTTCATAGTGACTCCCCTCTGTCGACAAATTTGACCAAATTGTATTTTAGTTAGTTGAGTAAGTACACAATATCATTTCATGTAGTTTTAGTTTTGTATGAAATGTTCTTTCACACATGGTTTTGTTTTTTAGTTTAGCTTTAGTGAACTGTAATAACCTTGACTGATACAATAATTGATGACAAAGATGAGGGCTAAATATATTCAGTGCATAAAGTCTTTGACAAGCTTGGTGTGCTGGTAATGAAATGCAGATGGAAATTAAATGGTAGAATCATTATATTATTTGCACAATTAGCTTTTAACAATTAAACCATTGACCTTTGAGCCTTACAGCATGTCTACACAGAAGGCATTCAGCAGCAGTTTTCAGTCTGGAAACCTCGCGCACGTTTGATGTAACAGTTACACAGGCTGTGGAAGGGCTTGCATTACATCTTTTTTCTTCCGTTTTATGTGAGTAACTACAGTGATTGTGTATTGCAGCATTGTCTCCTAGAAATTACGTTTTATACTAATTTACAATAGCAAATACGCTTTGAGGGAACCGTAATGCCAAATGAATTTCTGTTAACCTAATGGGGAAGGGTTAGGCTTTGTTAATGTAACTGGCAAGTTGCAAACATGTTGTGAAAATAAGTCCTTAAAATGTTCACTGGCAATGTATTTCATTTGGTTTCTGCAAAATAGGTAATCTTGCAATACTATGCACTCATAGTGACTAGTATCTGTTCAACCAACTAAATTATCTGTATTTGTATCTGTACTCGGGATGGAAGTAGCTTAACCCAGATGTGGGTGTTGCTTACATCGGTAGTGGGTGGAGCTTATTAGCTGCTATTTATAGAACAGCCTTAGAATTGAGCTTCAGAGCAATGTTTTTGAACACATGAGTAAGAGAAGAAAATGTTTTCTTATAAAAGTTGCTATATTTACAAGTACGGATATTGACACATTTTACTGGTTTTATACTTGTACTTTCTCAATGTGGCAATGTAGCCTATGACAATCGTGGATGGAAATTTGCTTATTTTGTTGAAATTCAGTTGAAATGTGCACTAAATTGACACTTGACTAAAGACAGGTGTGAGACGCATGCTTTCAGGCAGTCTCTTTTTGATGGCATCTATGATGTTGATTCATATAAAAGGTTACAGAAGTAGTTGTATGAAGACTGAAAAAATAGGTTGAGTGCGAAGTTCAGACCACGCCTATTACCACACCCATGGACCACATAAAGTGGGCATTCTTGTCAGGCTGACAGATTCAGAAGGTTACCATTTATTCATGCAGCAAATACAATGTTCTGTTCTCACCTGTGGTCCCGGAGGTGGTCCTGTCTTCTGAAGGCCTTGTGGCAGATATCACAGGTATATGGCCTCTCATCCGTGTGCGTCCTCTCGTGGATCAAAAGGTTGTAGGATTTGGTAAAATGGCGGCCGCAGAACTTGCATACAAACTCTTTCTTGGTCTTGGAGGGCAGTCGGCCTCGGCTGGACTTGCGCTCCGGCGAGGGGAGTTTGGTCACGTCCAGGAGGCATCCCAGGCCAGCTGAGGTTGGGTGGTGAGACGAAGCCTGTGCTGCAGCGGCGGCGGCGGCGGCGGCAGCAGCACCTGTCATGCTCAGGTCCTCTGCCTTCAGATGATCTTCCTGGGTGGCTGCTGCCGCCAGATTGGCAAAGTCAAAGCGGGGCTTGTTCTTGGAGCTCTGCAGAACCCCTGCTGAGTCCTGCTTGGGCTGCAGGAGGTGAGGGAATATGGGGATGGATGAGAACTGGGCAGGCAGCTTGGAGATGGTGCAGCGGGGCAGGCCCAGAGGCGGGTAGCCAAGGGTCCACTGGTGGAGGTGGATAGCGTGTAGAGCGCTGAAGCTGTAGATGCTGTGGAAGTGATCTGCTGGCAGCTGGAGGCCTGTGGAGCTCTGGAGGAGGGAGTAGTTGGCCAGCTGGAGGGATGGGTGGAGAGGAACCGGTGCTGGCAGAGTCTTGCTGCCCATAGCTGCGACACAGAATCCAACAGGCCTTCTGCTAGAGACAAAAAAACATTAAGCAGATGAAAATATGCAACTTCTGGGCCAAGTCACATTGATTTATTTATTTTACTTTCATAAGTAAATTCATTGAAGACAGTGACAAAGATGACAGGAAGTATGAGCATGAGTTCCACACGTGCACACAAATACACATACAGTGAAACTGCAATTGCATTTAGACAAGAAACCAGATTAGGGTGACAAATCAGGTTAGGCAGGAATTTGGATAACACTTGATGAATGTGAAACCCCAGTTTACAGGAAGTTATAAACATATTTTTCCCCTCACTGTTTACAACTACATACATTTCATAAACGTCCTACTTTTCGGCCATGGTGCTTCATCTTTATAAGAGGAAGATCAATAGTTTTATTCAGTTTAAAGGAATTGTTAGAAAAACGCTTATTCATTTAAGTGCAATGAAAAGATGGATATCAGTCTCACATGCCTGTGTTAAGTATGGCACTAGAGTGAAGGTGGTTACTAGCTAGGCATAGAGAAAGATAGAAAGAAGAAGAAGAAGAAGAAGATATACTTTATTGATCCCCTAGGGGAAAATTGTTTTTTTTATACACACAGAGGCTGAAATGCACACTGCACATGTGGACATTGTGCAAAGGGGGAGAAAGGTGAGTTGATGGGGGTCCATGCCGCGTTACCGCCCCATGAGCAGGTTTCGGGTTTAGGTTGCCTTGCTTAAGGGCACCTTGGCAGTGCACAAGAGGAGCTACCAGTCCACACTCCATATTTTGTGGTCTGTGGGACTTGAACTCGCAGCCCTCCGGTTGCCAAGCCAAGTCCCTACAAACTGAGCTACTGCCGCTGCCAAAAACAAAACAAAACAAAACAAAACAAAACAAAACAAAAACAGCACTGATAATGTCCTTGTTATAATGAATTATACGTATTAAGGTTAAAGGTAATGTAGTGGTTAGGTTTGTGCTGAATTCAGGTACTGGCACCTTGTTTGGTCCAATTCAGGCACTGTACTGGACTCAATAAAATAGTTATGGTATGTAAATTACCATTTTCATTTTGGTATTCATATTTTCATCTCACCTTTGGAAAACAAAGATGAAGAAAGCTGTGATTAGTTAACAAGGAAGCACATCACATTAGCAGTGTAAAAGGGGAAACCACATTCCTTGTACAATAGATTAAAACTCAATCACTGATGGCATCAGTGCTGTGAGTCATATAGTTTGGATTCTTAAATGAGTAACATCCATTCACCAGAAAAGTCAGCAGAGGGGGAGGCTGTGGCTCAGAGGCAGAGCGGGTCGTCCCCGAATCGGAAAGTTGTTGGTTCGATCCCTGGCTCCTCCTGCCACGTATTGAGTATCAAGTATCGAATATTGAGCAAGATACTGAACCCCAAATTGCTCCCGATGCATAGCATCAGTGTGTATGAATGAGTTAGTTTCTGTTCGATGGACTTTGCCATCACTGAGTGAATGTGTGTGAAAGGGTGAAAGTGCTTTGAGTGGTCGGAAGACTAGAAAGGCGACTACAAGTACAGGTCCATTTACCATTATCTCTGAATGGGCAAGGCATGAACCGGAAGTGGGCCGGGCTAACCTTAAGTCGGTCATTTAAGCCTGACATTTTAATAGGGGTTGATCAGTTATTAAACTATATAAATTATTTACGGAACTGCCCAAAAACTGAGCTTTAGACAAGAGTTTTTGATCACAAAAGTAAGAGAATTATTTACAGAGCAAGATTTTTTTTATATATAACACATTTTACTCTGACGATAAAAGTACACTATCCGTACCAGATACTCGCTTCAGCCGAGTACTTGCTCAGCCATTGTAGGTAGGTAATGGTTGTGTAAGGAAACAGGATTTGTACCACTACTGGCAGGCTGAGAGGTTGCAGGTATTTTAAGTTGTGGTGATTTGTGGTATATCTGTTTAGAATGTTTTAATATTGTGGCTCTGGCCGCAACTTGGTTGAATTTACACATTTACAAGGTACAAATCTTTGTGTATTACTGCTATGCCCACTCCCCACCCCCACCTACCCAGAACCTTACTGCTTCCCCACACCCCATACGAGAACACACACACACACACTCCTATCAGGAGCCAATACACATCCAGTCTGGCTTGCTGATAAAGCTGTTGCAGGGAACCTCATTATCAGTTATTAAGGCCGTGCATGTGAAAGGCCCTGGCTGTTGGAGCCACACTACGGAAAGCCATCTGCAGCACACCTCACTATTACAGGAAGTTCTTGTCCCAGTCCAGTGCCAAAGCTTTCTACGACATTTGCACATGGCAACTAGCTTTTGGTTATTAGGGAAAGATCTCGTAATGATTAAAAAGCTGGGATATTCTAATTACTACTACATGCCCATCCACCAACCCAACCTCCACCCATTTATTTAGAAAAACTGTAAAATACCCCAAAATTGTATATTCTAATTAGACTTTAACCCAAACATTCTGCAGTTTTGCTTATTTATGTATTTATTTAATATAAAAACTCCTCTGCCACTGAAATAAGTTCTTCAATGGTCCTTTAAAGTTGGTTTTATTAGTCATTTTGGAATAGGAGCTATGATTACAGTAGACACAGGGATTAGGGATCAAACCATCGCCCCACCAGTAAGACACAAAGACAGATATGCGCATATGTGTGTAGTAAATGTGTCAGCGAAAGTGAACACAAAACAATTGGCAGCATTTATACACACACAGACACATCAGACAAGATGTGTGTGTGTGTGTGTGTGTGTGGGTGTTTCCTGTTCCAAGAAACATGCCCGGGGCTGTTGAGGGCAGAGAAAGAGAATGACAGCATTCAGCCAGAGAAATACCTGTGAGCTGTTAAATCAGGTTTGATAAGCAGGAATAACAATAGACAATAATGTATCTTTGTCTGAGGCAGACGCTGATGGACAGGAGCCACAGCCAAGTTAACACAGCTCTGCAGGCCACTCCCCATGCCTCATCATCTTATACATCACCACTGCACACTCACCTTGACTCAGGTGCATTTCAGAGGGAAATATACTCTATATTCTTCTGGTTCCTACAGTGTGCTGTTTGAATGATGTATGTGCAGTTTGAC